ACCTCTATGTTGCAACATTTTCAAATTGCTACTCTGAAAGTGTCGTTCTTTTGTAAACAAAAGGTGTGCATCTGCTCAAAAGTGGAAATAATTGATACTGAAAGTCACCATGCTTAGTGAATTGCATGACAGAAGTCACCTGTGTTACAAATCAATCATTAACTATGACCTCGATATAACGAACATTTTGGTCGTTTTTCCTCAAATTTGTTATGTCGAGGTTTTCGAAATAACGAACCCTTGATTTAATGCACAAATTTGGCCGCTCCCCAGTGACTTCGTTAAATCGAGGTTCCACTGTACATGTAAATGTATGTGCAGCAGGTCATATTGTTTTCTGATTAACAAGTTTCAAACCAGACCCCAGTTGTACAAAAGTTGGACAATGCTATCCACTTGATAAATAACTATCCTGTGCATAGCATCGAGCAAGGTTCACTTGTAGCAAGATTTACCTTGGTGAATGATTTGTAGAATTCATTATATTCCTCGTCCTTGACATCTTTGGGTTTTCGGCTCCAGATTGGTTTGTTGGTGTTGATAAGTTCCCAGTCCCAGGTAGTTTTCTCCACCTGCAGGTAAGAACATCAAAGAAGAATCAGCAAACCAAACAAGATTATTGTTTCCAATAAGCCAACTTACATGTATATTTGCCAAGAGTGATCAGTTGCTTAATTCTCTCAACTTCTTGTAACAAGTTATAAGAATGATAAAATTGATTATATCGGCAAAACTACCACTAGCACAATAATTCTCCCAAGAGCAAGGATTTTCCAGGTTGGTACATGTATCCACAAGTCTACGGACTTTTTGAAGAGTTGCTTACTTTTTTCTTTACAGATTGTGTTTTAAATTGTTGGCTTGATCATGAGCCAGTCTAATTGCAAATTTCAGACAACTGCTTTTCAAACCCAATAAGCCTGCCCGAGACATCTTATAGAAAATGCTTGGAAGTACTTAGGAGTATTGCCATCATCTAAGGGCCAAATGGGTTCATTTTCAAGATGCACACCTTTTTAGTCTTGGGTTTCTTCTCCTTCTCTTCTGATTCTTCCTCAACCTCCACATCATCATCCTTGTCTTCCTTCTCCTTCTCTTCATCCTTCTTCTCTTCCTCTTTCTCTTCATCTTTCTCCTCTTTCTTATCTTCAGCAGATTCATCAGCCTTCTTATCGTCAGTGCTGGCTTCCTCCTCGACTGGCTCCTCAACTTCCTCTGTCTTGCTTGTCCACAGGTAGATGTTGAAATTTATGAACTGACTATACTTTTTCACAAGGTCTTTAATGGTCTCGGGCTCCAGGAAGTCACGAGCTTCTTCCTTCAGATGTACACTGCAGAAAAATATTTACATCTGTCAGTTAAAAACTAACACAAACAAACCAAAAGTACGTATCTTAAGTTACTGCAGTATATATTGCTATCTTGCTTAAATCATCATCATCTCTTATAATTGTGCCAGTAGGCGCATAAGGCCATATCTTGCTCAAATCTGTGTCATTATTTGCAAAGACAACACCTGCCTCATGGCCTTGTTAGTCAAAAGAAACTAGGAATTGTGCAAAACTAGTGACGAATGATAGCTGTCAATTACCTGACGGTCGTTCCTCTCTGGAGGGTATTGCCCCTGGGATCCTCTGTGATGCTGAAAGAAGCAGCATCAGATTCCCAGATGTACTGCTTGTCATCATTGTGTTTGGATGTGACAATCACACGGTCGGCAACGAGGAACGAAGAGTAAAAACCAACACCAAATTGGCCAATGAGGTCACTCGCCTGATCGCTTGACTGAGCATCCTGAATATTGAACAATGAAGCTTGAGGTAAGAAAACCACACAATGCAAGGCCAAGATAACACTGAAAATAATAAATTCTACTACAATGCAATAAGTTTTTAGGCTAAGTTCTTACCGCCATCTTCTGGAAAAACTCGCTTGTTCCTGACTTGGCAATGGTACCCAAGTTTTTGACCAAATCGTCCTTTGTCATACCAATACCAGTATCAGTAACATGAAGAATGTTGTTCTCTTTGTCCGCTTTGATCTTAATGGAGAGTTCTTCTGTAGCAGCAAGGGCTGATTTATCAGTAAGACTCAAGAATCTAATCTTGTCCAAGGCATCAGACGAATTGGAAATAAGTTCTCTCAAGAAAATCTGGAAAAAAGAGAAGCAGATTTTGTAAAAGCCACCACTTGTAGTACATACATAAAATTCATGTTACTCTTTGTTACTCTTTCTCACTATTTATTACCCGGCTCTGCATCAAAGTTGAGTTTTGATGTTTCAGGGAAATGTTACATGTACTACAGTTCAACCCCTATTAAACGGCCACCCTCAGGAACACATGTACAGATATACTGTATGATATTTTTCCAGCAAACTTTCAACTGTTCAAAATCTGTAGGCTATACCATTGTCTTACCTCTTTATTTCTGTACAGGGAGTTGATAATAAGCTTCATCATTCGACTAACTTCAGCTTGGAAAGCAAATTTCTCTGCTTTCTCCCTAAGTTCCTTCATCTGTGCTACATTCAAACCATCAAGTTTAATGGCTTCCTCCTCCCTCTGAACAGCCTCGTCATCAGTCTTTGATCCGTCTCTACTTTTGCCGACATCTTCATCTACAGTAGGTGGTTCTGTCTCTGTTTTCTCATCTGTCTTATCCTCTTCGGCTAAACACAGAGCTGAAAGATAGAAAGAAAAATTAGTATTTATAAACACATGTCAAGTATGACCATAAATTTAACTCTGTTTCCCCGATTGGGTTTTTGTCCTGTTAATTAATACAAAACAAGAAATTGATGAAACAAAAGTTGATTGTTTAGTTCGTTACTTGCTGTTGAAAATGGAGAAATTTTAGGTAATCAAGCTACATGTACATGTACAAGTCACTGACTCTTATGACAAAGACCCACATGTCAAAGACCCTGATGGAATTGTATTTTCAAGTTTAATATTATTATAGGTGCATTGAAGCAGCAAACAATGAATATCTAGCAAAAAAGACTACATTCAGTGTATTGAAGCAACAAAAATTGAAAATCTAGCAAAAAGAACCTAGATGACTTTAAAATGATGGAATTGTATTCACAAGTTTCATAATAATATAGGTGCACTAAAGCAATAAAATTGAAAATCTAACAGAGAAAAACTAGATGACTTTAAATTGATCACAATTTAACTGTAGATGACATTATCATGTTTAATTGCATGGAAACAATAAGCATTCTTATATGCTATTTACTAAAACGTGTACATCTGCAAAAAACTTTGGAAGCTGAGTAAAGAAACAAACAAAATACCACCCGCAAAAGAGAACTGTATTATTCATCACAAAAAGTTAAAAAAGGTACTACAATGTTGAAATTATTTCAATCCAAAAGAGGCATGGAAAATGAAAAGTCATTTAACTGTTGAGAAAACAATTAAGCAAACTGGTAGATGAATTAAATTTTAAATTCTTTCTCAAGTGGCTAAATAGTCTCTAAGCACTCTGTTCTTGGATATGGAAGACATATCTGGCCTAATCTAATTGGCTGACAACAAGCAGCCAATCAGAACTTGCCATATAACCAGGACAGATTTTTAAAATCTTGAAGTGTCAGTTTTTGCAATACCTCATGGAATGTAATACATTTAGACTTTCCCCTAAAATTTTGCTTTACGAATTGTTTGAAAGCTGAAAACTGTATTCAGAGGCAGTTCCAATGGAAAAGGTTTAAACTTATTCTTTCTAAAATGGTGAGAGAAAAATTTGGTTGGAAAAATCGTGAAGCACGAAGCGATAGAAAACGTTTTCTGCTAGAGTTTTCGAAACTGATTAAAATAATTTAAATGCAGATTGTCATTCTTAATATAGATTTTTATGGATATTTCATTGCGAACAAAGAAATCTGATTGAAGTGAATAGTACCTTATTCAATCGATAAAAATCAATTGTATGAACTTTTCAATCGAGGTAAAAGTAACAACACTTGTAGGCCAACCGACAGTCTTTAAAATCTAAACTGATCTGCAGCTCCATGACATAGTTCGTAAATTTTAGAGCTCATATTCTAACAGTAGGCATATAAGAGAAGACAATTGCTCAAAAGGAAATTCAACTCTCACTAATTGATAACTACAAGTGGAATGAAGATCGAAACTGGTTACGTTACGCCATAAGATTTTTTCAAATGACCCAAACAAATATTGGATGTTCTTGCATTCAAGGAAAACCGACGGAGATCTGTGCTGAACATCTGAATCGAAGTATCGTTTAAATTTTCTTGAAATTTAAAGCTTTGAACCCAGTTTAAATTCTCCATCAGGACCATCAGTCACGACAAGGAAGCTTGCAAAACTTTAAACTTACTTGTGCAAAAGAAAAAGCAAAAAGAAAGTTAAAAATACACTTACAAGAAATTAGAAGGAGCCCCAAGAGGCTTAGAAGGTACGTTTTTCTCCCCATTCCTTGAAAACCAGCCGCAACAGCTGAAACTGACAGCGAAAGGATAAAATCTGTGCAAAACTTTCTAGCGAAACTGCAGCTTTCAAGCGATACAAACCAACCAGGACTTACCACGGCCAAAGCTCGTGTCTCGTGCTCATTGGTTAATTTTAGTCACGTGCTTAACGTGGAGCGCTTCCATTGGTTAATTTTTGGCTGCAAACTCATTGATTCCCGCGGGTGAGCCTTCGCTTTGCGCCAAAAATTTCCCAATAGTTGTGAGAATTTATAAATATTTCTGTAAACTAGCAAAAAATATTCCGTTATTTCTAGTATGAGGTAGTTTGAGAGAAATTGCAAGTTTTGGTTGACTACCATCTATACACAAAGTTAAATTTTAAACTTTCTATATTTATTACAGTAAAAAAAACTTGGAATAAAAGTTCTGATTGAATTATATTCTCTCTTCTACTCGCCATGGTTTTCCCTGGCTCCCCAGCGGTTTTGTACTGCAAAGAAACACGATAATTGAGCCGGTGAATTTCCACGACCGTTTTGTGGTACAAGAAACTTTCAGTGCTGTGGGAAATCGTATACTCTTTTTTCAAATTATCATACGATGTGCTAGATGTTTACTTCTGTAGTTTTTCTGTGCTAAATTTGAAGTTGCAGAAATTTTGTCGCGCTTGCAGTACCGCAATTCACGTGGACGATTTTATGGAAATTTCATTGAAGATGTCAAAAAACTGGATTGTACAAATCGTTTTAGTTGCAAACATTTTATTCTGTAGTGGTCTTAGATCAGCTGCCAGGGAAAAGAAAGCGAAATGTCCAACGTGTACTGACATTGTAGACGCTTTTAAAAAGGTAAATAGTTTTAGCTTATCTGACCTGTCTAATTATAACATCAGGAAAATAGGTTAATATTTAATCTGTGCACGTTTTGAAATTTGATGTTATGGATATCGTTTTATGCTTTGGCACCTTGCTATTGTGAATAGAACCAATTCATCACTTTGTTGCAAGCTTTAAATTTTAGAAATTTTTCATTGCAAATATCAAGTTGTTTGCCACTTCTTAATCAGATGACAAGCTGAGTTCTGAAATTTTCAGTGTTAAAACAATAACTATTTATTTGGGTTGAAAATATGCCTGGATGTTAGTCTGTGGACATTACCGGTTTGTGTCCCAAGAAGTGAAAACTGTGAGTTTTAGAGTGCACTTCTTTGGGATGATCATGGTCAGGGTCAGTGGTCTAAGATGACTTGGATCATAGCGCATCAAATTAAAGGAGCCATTGAATCCATGACCAGAGTGGATTCATCAGTTCCTGGGATGCACCATGACCTGAGTGATCTTAGATCACTGATCCAGACCCGGGTCATCTCAAAGGAACGCATCCTTAGTTCAGGGTCAGTGATCAGAGATAACTTGGATCATAGTGCATCAAATTAAAGGAGCCATTGAATCTGTGACCAGAGTGGATTCATTTGTTCCTGGAACACACCATGATCTGAGTGATCTTTGATCACTGATCTTAACCTGGGTCATCAAAAAAAAAAATGCATTCTTATTTGAAGTGTTGACAACATGATGCACACATGCAGACTTGTATGCATGCATACATGCCTGCCATCCAGTACTCTGACAGTCAAACAATCAAAACTAGGATCAACTTTTGCAGTTTTAATCCCAATAAAAGTGAATACAAGTTGCAGGGAGTCAACACTATCTTATTTGAATAAATCAGTGGAAGCTGGGAGTCATATTAAGTATTTATATTCATTGCATGGTGTTCTGTTTCTCATTTTACACCATAGGGTAAAGATAAAACAGAGAAAGCTAACTTTGGTGGGGGAAACACAGACTGGGAGGAAAGAAAACTAGGAAGTTATGCAAATAGGTATGTTCTGTAAAGGCTCTAACCTGCGATATGGAGTTCTTATTCTATTAATAAAACAACATCCCTATGTGTTCTAGTCACTGGCCTCAAAACCCTAGCGGCAAGACAGTCAGGGAAGCAGATTGTAGATGCCGAATTCCAACCAGTCTCTGAGACCAAACTGATTCCACTGTTTTCTTCTTAAAGTTTTTTTGTTCTTCTTTTGTTTCTTTCCTCTTCTTCTTCTTGAATTTGTTAATTCAACTGGTTGAGTCATGATGGTCTGACGACTTTCAAAGCTCTCTTGAGTGCTTGTGTTGTACTTGATTGGGCAGTGTTGACTTTGCTTTTATTCTTATATTAAAAAAAAGTATTTTTTTTTCCTTTACCAGTGAAACAAGATTAGTTGAAATTATGGAAGGGCTTTGTGATGAAAGTGCTTCTGAGGTATGTTTCTGAAGAAAATTTTATTTTTTCATGTCATTGTTTGGCTTATATTTTCAATGATTTTTATTAATAATTGATTGACACTACCTCTTAAGCAGTTAGCCATAAGTAGTGGTGCAAATTGTCATTTTTATTTTTAATTATTTAGTGCCATGCAATGGTTGAAGAACAAGAAGAAACGTTAGAGGAATGGTGGTTTGATCAGTAAGTACCATAATTATTAGTATTTTTATAAGCCCCAGGGAAATGAAATTTTTTGTAGGGGGGGGGGGG